CAATTTATATTAAAGCATTTATACGAAAGGTCATGGTATGCTATCACCGAAACATGCTTAGCCATGACAATATTCCGAGATGAATTCAATACTAGGTTCGTTGTAACGTTCACGACTTTATTGTTTTTAAAAACATTTCATTGGTTATGTCAAGATCGAGTAGAATTTGTGAGTATTTTAATAAAATACCAAGTTTTGAAAGTTTTTTTTTATTATTTATTATATTTTTTTTTATTTAATACTAAAGAAATTGTTAAAAACAGATGGAACAGTCACCAGCTGTACCAATTTCATTTCATGTGCGGATGGTTTCATTAATGAAAATATTGATTGCATTTGATCTGATTTTGGCATCATATGCTATTAATGTAACAGTGCAAAATGGACCAAATATGATGATAATGTTTGCATTTGAAGTGCGTATTATTTATATTTATTATTTAATTTGTTCTATTATTCTCCTCTATTCTAAATTATAATTTTTTATTTAGTATTCCATTCTTGCAGCAACAATAGTATCTACTATTTTTAAATATACATTTAATGTAATTGATATGAGACGTGAAGAACCATGGGAGAATAAATCAATATATGTTTTCTATTTGGAATTGGTGATCGGTAAATAATTAATGTTGGTATACTAGTTTTAATTTCTATATTAATCTAAATTATAATGTATCTTTTATGTAGATTTCTTTAAATTGATTGTATATCTTATCTTTTTCGCTATAATTCTCGTATCTTATGGAATACCTTTACATATTATTCGGGACGTTTATGTAACGCTTCGATCATTTCTTCAAAAGTGTGGAGATTTAGTAAGATATCGTCGTGCTACTAGAAATATGAATGAACGTTATCCTAATGCTACTAACGAAGAACTTGAGCGATTAAGCGATCGCACTTGTATTATCTGTCGGGAGGAAATGATAGTGTCCAATAATAATGCGAATAATAATAATGCCGATCCACAACGAAACAACAACGGAGATAGGCCTAGACAAGGAAGCAATAATAATTTGGGAGATGTACCAAAGAAATTACCTTGTGGACACATTTTCCATTTTCATTGTTTAAGAAGTTGGTTAGAAAGACAACAAAGTTGTCCGACTTGGTAAGTAAATATTCAGTTATAAAAGTTATCATTTAATTTAATTCGCTTCTAAAATGTTATAAAAATGTAGTCGGAGACCTGTCTTGGAGCAACCAACACCCGCAGCACAACAGCAACAACAGCAACGTCCCATTCAGGCACAAGCTGTACGTAATGGACCACAAGGACAACAACCACCACAACCTCAATTACCTCCAGGCGTGCCTTTCCCAAATCATCCAGGATTTATTGCTAATGCATTCCCAGCGTTTCCTACTGTTATGTTGCCACCTCCAGCGATGCATGGACAATTTCATGGACAATTGCCTATGGCTCCTATTCCTCTAGCAAATGCACCTAATGTGGGTGAACAAGCAAATGGTATAAATCAGAATATCCCACAACCTCCACACCAAAATAATCCACAAGAGACGCAACGGAATCCACCACAAAATTCTCAGTCTAATATTGGAGATCGATCGACAACAGAGGTATGTAGTTAGTTAACCAAAATACAATCACCGTATATAAAAATGATTATTAATGGTTTTATATTTATAGACACATGAAGAATCTAGTTCAACATCATCTAGTACACAAAGTCAAAATCAAAATAATTCAACACGGAGACCTAATCAGCCAGTTGCATCTAGGATACTCTTGGATCAATCATCTTCGTCAAATTCACGGACATTTAATAATGCACAGCCATCAATGCCTTTTCAACCTATTAATTTATCACAATTGTCTATGCAAACTTCACCAGGATTAATACCACTTTTCCCAGTTCTACCATTAAGAAATAATGGCATAGGGAATAATAATAATTCAAATTCAAATGCTCCATCAACAACATTGGAACCTTTAACGGAAGAACAAATTCGTTTATTGGAAACTAATACTCGTGCAGCATTTGAGGAGAAAATAAGAATACTACAAGACGCACAAGTACAAATTTATAATGTTATCAGCGTGCTCACACAGGCTGTCAGCGCATTACCTAGTATCCCAACATCGGAGTCGAACATAACTACATCATCAGCGGAAGATAATTCCTCAGTAAATAATAATAATAATAATAATAATAATACAAATACAAATACAAATACAATTGAAAATAATAATGTTGGAAATGCTAATTTCATTAATACTAGTACTGGTTCGAATATAAATGAAAATTCTCGAAGCGAAGAAGTTAAAGGTGACAAGGGCAAAGGAAAGAGTGTAACATTGACAGATGAGGATGAACTATTTGAAAATCGAGATTATTTAGGGTAGAAACATTAAAATTACAGGAGAGATAATAACGTACATTTATATTCAAAAGATTCAACGTAGTTGTTTTAAACTTTATTGTAGATAATATTTTTGATTGATAAAATAGTTTTCATTATTGTAATCAAAAAAAAAGTTATTTAGAAATTGTGATTAATTTGAAGATTCTTTTTGTTTATCACTATCTTCTATAATACCTAATCTCATTACATTACTTTTATTAGCAGAATCAGTTAATTTACGAGATATTTCATCTTGTTTTTTCCTTTGTTCAATTAATTTTAATTCTTGAATTTTAATAGTTTTAGCACGTGCTTTCTAGATAAATAAAAAGAATTAGTTAAGAACGAATTTATAGTATAAATTAATTCTTAACGAGTACCTCTTTTGTATGATGTAAACATTCGAAATAATCGTCCTTTTGTAATGTACATTGTTCGGGTCTATCAGCCATAGCATAACATTTACGAAATTCTTGCCAGAAAGCAAAACATCTACTACGATCTCCATTATAGCCGAATCCGGATGCCACTATAAAAAATTTACGAAAAAAAAAAATTTTTTTAAATGAACCAAAGGTTAATCGATAAAAAAAAAGTTGATAAATAAATAAAATTTACTTTTTTCAAAAAATCTTTTATTAATTTAACATGCTTTGATTTAGAACTCTTTTATATCCATAAAATTTGAGATTCTGATTGGTTAGGCTAAAGTATTTGCCATTCAAACCAATAAAAAAAGAGAAAATAAATTATAATACCAAATACCAAAATTTTTATTATTATATAGTATAAATTAATTTCTTTAATCTTATTAAATCAAATAATTGCAATTATTATTAAAATAATAAAATATTAATTCAAAAATAATCAATTTAATTAATTTAATTAAATAATTTATAAATAATGAAATTGAAAAAGATTTAGTAGTAAAATTTAATTAATAATTTTAAAATTCATAACTATTATATATGTCATATATGTCATATATAGGATTTATATACAGTTATTTTAATATATATATAAAAACATATAATTAAAATTTAATTATAATTAATTAATAAATAATATATTTTTTATATAATATATTTATAATTTATTAATAATAAGAATTTTATTTAAAATTTTAAATAATTAGATTTTAAATTATTATTTTAAATAAAATTTCATTTTTAATAATCATAATTTTAAATATATACAATTTTTTTTATAAATAAATAATATTTAAATTAGTAATATATATATATTTTTTAATAAATAAAAAAAGTACATTTATTAAAAAATGTAAAACTTTAATCTTAATTTAATATAAAAAAATTTTATTATAAATTTTATTTGATAAATAATTTTTAATATATTTAAAATTAATTTTATTTATATTATATTTAAATTATAATAACTAAATAATAATTTTAAAAATTTTAAATTAAATTAATATATAATAATTAAATTATATATTATACTTAAATTATTTAAATAATTTAAATTATTAATTTATTTATAATATTATTTCTTAAATGGTAATTATAAAATGTTTATAAAATATTTGACATCTAAAAAAATAAAATAAAATTTATTAGATTTATCATATTAAAATATTTCTAATAATAATATTTTTAAATTTTAAAATTAATAATTATCAATATATATCAATTTTTCAATTTTTAATTTTTAAAAATAACTTATTATATAATAATTATTTAATTATTTAAAAATAAAATTTAGATTTTGGATTTATCTTATTAAAATCTATTAAAAAATAGTATTTTATATTTTTAAGATTGAAAGATAGAAGATATATTAAGTTTAAAATTTAAATCTTTTTGATAATAATTTATATTTTTAAAAATTACTAGTTAATTATATTTTTTTTTAATACAGTGGTGAGCAAAAGAAACGCAACCACTATTGGTTACCTTTAAAAGCTTATAACAGGTTAACTATGGGGGCT